AACCTCTGCTTTACTTTGTGTACGAAAGCAGAGTGCAGAGTAAATGATCGTCTCCATATTTTTATTCATTTCTAGACGACATGCAAGCCTTTGGTTGGATCAGAATTGAACATTACTAGGATCTTTTTGTTGTGCCCTTCCAGTTTCCCAAAATGTCAGACACCAACCGGCGAAACGAGCCCCCTGCATGCATGCTGTGATAAACATCATGTCACATGATAAGCCATAGCTGATAATAATAATCGAAGCCAAGCCGCCATAACGGTCCTCGGTTTGCGCACGACTCCCCAAAATGTATGGACTGCCCGCGTATTCTAATTAGTTCTCAAGGACAGACCCTGTTCATAATCTACGATAACCATATCAAAACACATGTTTTGATCATGTAAAAGATACTAGGCAGATACGTGTACATGACTTGTGTATAAATTTTGTATCCATTCTCTGGATGGCTTTATGTGTACTCGTATTTATTAGAATTAAATGGTCTCCTTTTAATTACTAATGTAATTTATGCTCGATTCTCTCAATTAGGACCCCACCTGCTATACACAATTAAATCTCTATACTATAGTATTCCATCATGCATACATTAGCTGTTATGTATAGTTGGCAAACTTTTGAGCCAATTGTGAAGGGAATTCTTTCTTCGAAAAGTATGCATAAAATTAGTAAACAGGTCTTCTGTGAAAATTAATTAAAGATATTCAGATCCTCCAAGGTAGCCTATATATTTCATAGTTGATGACTTGGTGCGTGTGTAAATTGAAAATAAAAGGTTTGAATCGACAGAATGAACCCTGCCGATGTTATTGCATTCCGTGAGAAAATAAATCATTTTATAACTGGAAATCATAGTCAACAAATCAACTGTCATTATTGTCGTGTTTGTTTTTCGTCTACTGCATGACTTGTCACCTAAAACGTGCGTAGTATAATTTGTATGATTGATTCTTCATGACGTTGCATATATACAAAGGATAGTCTCATCTTTGAAAAGCTTTATAAGATGAAAAAAAGAACAGTCTAGAACAAAATCATGAAGCGGAAATGTCACTGAAACGAGCAAGCCTTGGTTTTTCACTATTTATCAAATTTTCAAAAACAACATGGAAAACATAGAAAGGGAGAACTAGTATGAGTGTGTGAGTAAACGGCCATGGCTCTAAAATAAAAACAGAAAAAGGCAAACAAAAAACAAATACAATGAAAAAGACAATCCGGAAACAAAAAACAAAACAATTCCAAACAAAACAAGAAAAATCAAAGAGGTTCTGACGAACAACAATTATCAAACTATTATCTCTTTCTTACGCCACATAAAATGAAATGTCCGAGGCATTGAGGAGGATATTTTTATGAATATGAAAATAAGATGTAAAAATCATATACCTGAACTCAATATGAAAATGATTTTTTTGTTGTTGCCAGGATTCATACAGGCACTATAATAATGTATTCTCTTTGTCCAAATTCGGAATAAATGTCTGCACTTCCCTAAACTGACACTAAATGCACAACTAAAACGGAGCCATTAAATGTCCACATTATTCCACACTTTTGAAGGAAAAAAATTGAACTTCGAATTGAATTTACAAAGCTTTTTCGGGTGTGTTTTTGTAGAACACTCTGTGTGAATAACAGCCCGGTTTACTAACATATTCAAATTTTATGCATGCTTTATAAACAGAGAATGTTCTTGACAACCTGAAAGCTTGCCCGAAGCTTGTCAGACATAGCAACATGTGATGTCTGCAGAATGAATTCCAAGTAATGTATATTTCATTCATGAATAACAGGTTAAATGGAATTAGCTAGTCACTAGGTAGTGTAGGTTGCCAGAAAAGAAACATCCATACACTTGAATATTTCAGTGTGTGTGTATATTTATTGAATAATTTGTTTTAACTGTAGCGTGTAAAACGAAGTTACTCCTGTTTGTTCTATACAACTTACAAGCCCCGTTTTGTAGTGCAGTGATACAGAATACACATTTACAATTAAACGTAGGCCTATAGACCGACAGAGAGACTTTAAGTTCAAGCCCTTGCGTGAGACGTACAATCTGTGTAAGATATAATGATAAAGAACACATGTTTTTGACTCATAAGTTATTAATAACATTCGACGTGGCAAGTGTAGATTAGCGTACGATTCAGACCTTTAGTCCATTTTTTCTTCAAATTTAACGTGAAAAAATGAAATACATCATGCATGTACAAACACATAACCGAAACGTCCCCAACATAATAGAAACTTACAATGATTATTCATGATTATTAATATTAATTATAACATATCATTAATAGTTAATGATAATAATATATTATTATATAATTTTGTGTTATAATCATACAACTACTTTTTAAGCATTGTTTTGTTTCTGTAAGGGAAATTGCAAACAAGTCACATAATGAATGTGGGCATAACAAAACGTCATTGACAGTACAATTTTTTTTTCCACACATAAATCAAATGGGATGATTTTCAACGTGGCAAGTTGAAAGCAATGACCATTATTATAAATAATCTGGAATTACTGCGTCATGATTTAGAAACAAACAAACCACAAACCCCCAAAACAGTGTGACGTTATAACATTTGAATCGGTCTCAAAATAAAATAGTGCCAATGCTATCTGTCCTTTGCGAACCAGGATTTGGTCAAAGTAACCATTAATATTGGTTAATAAATTGGTTTATTTAGTCAAGCACATGTATAACTATTCTATAAAAACTAATCAAAATACAATCAAGGTGATGAATTTTGTTGTTGATCTTTCCCGAATACTGTTGTTAACGAGACCAAAAAAGAAGAAGAAAAAAAAAAAGGAATACAAATTTGTTGATGATGATGAGTAGGCTACCCACATTTTGAGTACACGAATGCCGACATACATGTACAAGCATTACAAATGTAGATAACTGAAGTTTCTTGATGCAAGAAAATGTACACTAACATTTTTGCTATTCCTACTCGAATAGCCATGCATGATTGAGGGGGAGCCAAGTCATCGACATTGTTTTATTTTATTTTATAAAGTCCTTCAAAAGATGGGTTCATTCAATACCTTAACAATACACCCCCACCCCGGTCCCGGGTTTTACCCCAGATCGATACGTCGACGGCAATGAAGGGGGTCGCTTGCCCAAATGCCCATTGTTGTACCCCACTACCAATATCCCGTATGTGCTGTCGCCATGACAGCCGAAGTAGATAATCACCATGTAGGCCTACGATGTATGAGCATACAAATCCCAGGCACTCGATCGTGAAGGGAGAGAGAGAGAGAGAGAGAGAAAGAGCGAGAGAGAGACAAAAGACGTGGCCAATAACAAGGGTGGGGAAAAATACAAAATCGATAAATCTTAAGTGTTAATTGGGCTTTGCCACGTAAGCGGAATTTCGTAGCCCGTTGTACAGCAAACCGCGCAGCGAGCAGGACAGATGCACAGTCGTCTGCAATGTACCCGTGAATTACATTAGCCAGACCTGCTTGATTAGACTTTTCCGAATTTGTTTGAGATTGATGATAGATGATCATTAAAAAACTAAAAACAAACAAATCAACGAAAAACAAATACATCCCAAGTCACAAAAAAAAGATATACGAGCTATTACATTCACAACTTATCACAGACCATAATTATACATGAACATTTACTTTTGGGGGGCATCCTAAATATATTTTTTCTTCTTCATTATCTTGACATGTTTACAAAGGGAATAATTAAATGTTTAACTAAAGTTATTTAAAAAAAAAAGGGAATGTGATGTAATCAGTATGAAATAAAGAGAGAGAGAGATAATCAACGTGAAGCTAAATTACCCCCATACCTAGTAAAAAAAAGGGGGGCACTTCATATCCATTTTATGTGAAATCAAGTAATCAACCAACTATGCACGATCACGAATGTGAATCATGGAGGTAAATTGAGCTCAATATGAAAGGATTAGTAAAGAAACGTATGGACTGTGGAGTATCAATTTTATTAAAGTTAGATAAGTTAGATATGATAAAGCTGAAGCCGGGAGCTGAAGTATTCGAAGAGACAAATTTATGATCACGCGGACTGTGCACTCTCGGAAAAAACAGAAAAGAAAAACAAGCTTCATACATTTACACTCTCGCCCACAAAAATTAACCACGCATGCACATGCCCGTGTCCTACAATAATGAACAAAGAACTAGGCTTCTAGTTCTACAAAAACACGATACGAAAGCTAGCCCTAACAAGTTACCTTATTTGCCACATGATAACCTCTAACATATACAGTCTTTTGATAATAATACAATCAAATGGATTCAAGTAACAGGCGATTGGTAATTTTTGACACAAAATGAGAAATACATAATGTGTTTCAGAGGAGTAGATCCATGCGTGAAAAATGCATTAGTCGCCATTTTGTTTTTACAAATTACCAATTTCTGCTCGACGTTTTCGTCGAGCAAATATTGACATTTAAAATCATTTACTTCGCAAAACATATATGTTAATGTGAAATTAGTAAGGGCATTCATTTCAGGGTATATATTGAGTATATAATTCCAGTATTCCGTGAGAATGTCGTTCGAAAAGGGCGATAAGACAGCCCCACCCGATTGTTTTTCCTCTGGCGCATACTGTATAATGTACTCGGCCTTTGTCTCGGCTTTGTCTGAAGAGTTCCATTTCAACGGCGAAATGAAAAGATTTTACACATAAAATCACAACTTAATCCGAATTAAGTTATCCCAGAGTACGTTCCAAGTATATTCCAGGATAAAACCGCGTTAATATCCTTCAAGAAACATAAATTTAAGTGAATTTTCTATGCAAAACTCTGCAGTTATGTTGCATGAAGAGCGCAGAGAGGAAAATTTCCACTAAGCAATGTAAATACATAACGCTTAGCGCCACTGCACAATGTACGACTGAAATGTGTGTGTGTTTTTGTGTATTGAGAGTATAGTGTGTATGTTGAATGCACGGGGCGATTCAAAAATGACGTCACCCACAAACCACGACACGGCTTTTTGGGCCTCACAAGTTCCCGAGCGAACCGCCAGCCAGCTTAGCGCCAGAACGCTGGGGCAAAGTTTTGCTTGAATTTCACTACACGTTAACGGTACGGTGTGTACGAGCTGCGGTTATCAACAATCTCCAACGCTTGCTTCTTACTACGCTGGAAATATAATGTGGATTTCACGCCCGAAAATAACGTTGATTTCGAGATATTTACTAGGATTTTAACCGGGACTATGACCCATGGCAAGCATGGTGCGCGAAACCAGGCATCTTTGGGTTGGAAATTTACCGGATAATATTCGAGAAGACAAAGTTATAGAGCAATTCAAACGGTGAGTAGAGCTCGAAATCGAGCCATGGTCGTGCTATATATCGTGTGTACATACTAACCGCACACAAACTGTGCGCGAAACCCTCACTACTATCAAAACTTTGCGTTACAAATTGATAAATTTAAGCTATTTGCCCTTGTCTGATTTATTATTAATGTTCATTTAATCGTAGAAATAATGTTTAAGATTATAGATCATTATAGCATATATGTGTTTCTTACTTGCAAATTATTGTTATTCCCCGACTAGTATGTTCGTTTTTCAAACGTTAACGGCTGTTTTCAAAAATTCTGCACGAGGTAATGTTTTGGAGCAATCGCCTACGCTAGCTAGGCATAGGATTCGTGCACAATAAGCTCATCGCTATGGCCTGTATGCGACGCGTTGTTAATTCTGCAAAAAGAAAGACTGGAAGATCGAAAAAAGCTTGAAATAAAGTTGAATGTGTGGAATTGCTACCAGCCAAGTATTCCTTTTACTATATATCACCACATATTTTGAACATTCGTGTTTATCATGATTTACCTTTCAGTTTACTATTTTTCCTTCTGTTCACCATGTTTTGGCAAATTATTTCAGATGCATTTTGTTGAGTGTGATTGAAATGGACTTCAGTCTGGTGAAAATAAGTCATCAGTAGATAGGTAAAATTTAATTCTATGATTTGTGATACTCCAATACAGGTAAAGACAGTAAAAAAAAAATTCAAGAAAATTTGCAATCATTAGATAGGGTAGACTCTCGATTTGAAATTTGTTTTCTGCCCTTTACGAGGCAGAGGCAGAGGCAGAGGAGAAAAATGGGTTTCTAATTAGGCTATATCCGTTCTTTAAATAGAAATATTGAATTGTTTACAGTTTGAAACATAGTATTAACTATTAGCTAGTGTTTTTCCACAAAATAATTGGGGAATAGAATAGAGCCCTTCTAGATGAGAGGGTGAACATGGTAAATTTTATTTCCAGTAGGTATTCAGGTTCCATAAACCCCTAAAGTCTAAGAATTGTATTTTTCAAAAAGCCGTTAGTAGTGATCAATCCAGCAGATTGCAGTATCCAGTATTATCTGTTAAAAAGTACAGTATGTGTGTTTTTTGTTTGTGTCCAAAATCCTGGTCGATATCTTAACTAGGGGGAGGGGCAGTAAAAAAAGTAAGAAACTAAGAAATTTCAAAAGACACACTAGATAGAACTAGTTTTATAACCATATTCTGCGCACACTACCAATTTGTATGTCAGAAAGGTTCTAAAATTTACATACATTTACATGTACAGTACAAGCGCTAGTGCCCTTTGGTAAGGCATTAATCCGCATTACCAGGTCTCTCGGAGAGGACCTAAAGCCGTTGGCGGTGTGGTTGCTTACTTACTTGCATTTATGCTTTCTTAGCAGTCAGGTAAAATGACCACCACCATTAATGTAAATTTATATATGTAATTGCATGTACATTGAAGAAAAAAAAACACACAAAAAAAACCCCAATGAATCAAATTCTTTTAGTGTCAAATTAAGAAAAACATACTGTATAACATGTCAGAATTATTTAATTCATTTATATAAAACACATCAGTTAAACCTGTATTCGCATGCATGTACAGTATATTGGTGCTACAAGTACATGTTTATACCAGCATATCAGTAGTACATGTACCTGTGAAAAAATTGAAATAAAAAGGAGTACCGGTAGTTTTTTTTGGTGAGCAAAAATTTGGTTTGGGAAGGCTCAAAGAGTCGAAAAAAGAAGGGTAAGAAGAAAATGCATGAGATTGCGTAATATGTGGTGCGATGAAAATTCTGTCGACACTAGAAAATTATTTTGTATCTTCGCTCAAAGCCCTTCTGTGAACAATAGATGTACACAAACTGTACAGTACAATGTATGTACATGCACACATCATACCCGCCAAATACACTCCCATCTAAATGTTTCAAGCAAAACTAATGTTAGATGAAACAATGAAATGATCATTTAACATTTTTATGTTTATTCATGCATGTACAATGTGACATCATTTTTAAGGCAATAATGATCATAATTCATGTAAAATCCCTGTTAATTGCAATGCAATCTGGATAGTCATGGATTAAAAAAAAAAGTCCATAAATATGTGCTGAAATCGAAGAGGACCAGCATCATCTTAAATCCTCCTAAACGATTATCATTGAAAAAAAAGACACTTCTGAAGACAAAGCAGGAAAATATTTTTTTGGCAAAGTAAAATCCAGTATATGTTTGCTCTTTTATAAGCCAGTATCTGAAAGCTATAAAACTGACGAACATATAACTCTGTTTCAGGTACATCATCTTTCAGTATTTCTGAACTTCCTTGTATACATGTTCATTCTATAATCTGAGAAGCAAATGCACCATCGATTGAATTTGAAAAAAAGTGAAAATTGTCTTTTTTTAGATGTAGCCTGGTGAGTACTAGTAGTAGGCCTACAGTACAGAACCATTATATTTTTCTGGTGAAATTTGGTTTGTTTTTGGCCGAAGGTAGGCTAAAACGAGACAACTGAATTATAAAAAGTGATGTGGTTTGTGAATTTGCTATATACTGTACATGTACAGTACATGATGAAGGACTGTTTTAATATAATTGGTTGAACAGCAAAGTAAGAGTAAAATCAGCTTGCGAATCACTCATGACGATGCCCCTTCCTCTCTTCTATCCCCAAAATGGCAAAAATCCATTCTAAAAGTATGTGTTTGCTTGTAAGAAGCTATTTTGTTTGTAATTCCTCCCAAGTCCTTTTGTATATGAAGGGATTTTCTTTGATTAGGGCCCAATATTTCTTTGCCTCAAATTCAAATTATGTATTTCAAAGGGGTTTCAAACAAAAATTGATCCATTGAAATTGCAATAAGGCCTTTGTACAGTGTTGTGTGGTGTATGCAACGGACATGCAAAATTTGAAACTGCATGCATGCTGTGTGCATAATGTGTGGAGCGATCCCCATTCACTCTATACATGTTTTGTGCTAGTACGAATTCGCTGCATAAAATACAGTGCCAACTCCTCATACACACAATACTACGACTACGTCTACACACACACACACAAGGCACAGACCTTACAACACAAAATGACACACAAACCCTTTCACACACAAAATGCATAGCTGTACAAAATCAATGGTTGTTTTGTGTGCTACTGCTAGCCTAGAGTTTCAATGCAAAAGCAAGTAAACAACTTTGGTCTATGTAGAATACAGTAAGAGAAAAAGCTGGATGGTTAGATTTTGAAGATAAATCAATTGACCATTGACCAAACTTTATTGTTTCTTTTTTCTTTCTAGTTTTAGGATAGTGGTGGTTTCTGCCTGGCTGTGTATTGATTTTAGAAGTTGAATATTAACCAGGTTCTACCAATAGTACGTGGATTCAATGGGGAAACGGCAATGGGTTTAATCAATTACCAAAGTTGGCCTTGTTTTCTTCCCATTTAATGATCATATTCTTGAGAATTTTGAGGTTGTCTATTGATTCGTGGGTTGCAGTCAAGGTTGTATATGAATCTATATTCACTGGCATGATTGTGTGTGGGGAAACCAAAAAAAAGTATGAAAGCTGAAGCAGCAGTAGAAAAAAGAAGGGGAAGAAAATGTAGAGAGATAGAGAAAGAAAAAACATGGTAGAAAATACTAGAAACTAACCCTGTAAGTTTGGGCTTTGATCTGATATAAAACATGTACAGTGTAACATAAAAGTTCCTAAAATGGAATCATTTTGTTGGACTATGAATTGCTACTGTAGACAAGATTCTAAATCATGTGCATTTATGTATGACGAAGCAATAGGTTTGGAACTTGTACATGCTAGCCCAGTCTTCCAATCTTTTCTCTTTTCATCCCCTCTTTCTTTTCTCTCTATCTTTCTATTTTGTTTTCGCCCCAGGGGCTAGCAGATCTCATCTTTATGTATGATCGCTCTGGGAAGAAAAAAATGTGCATCTTCTTCTTCCTGTTCCGATGGTACTTGAGATAAAGTGGAGTAGATCGCAGGCGCGATATAAGCGAAGAGTGGAGTGTTAAAGGGGTCCTTTAAAGTAAAACATAGATTGAAGGGGAGAGGGGGTGGCATGCAGATTCAATTTTGGGGAGCTATTCGTTGCCGGAGGGTAACCTAATTTCAGATAGACTAGTTAGTAGATTTGTATAATAATAGAAGTAAATTTGTCGTTCTATGATTGTTTTGAAGCTGGCTCAGTAGTACTAAACATATGATTGTAGTTGTAATGATATTTAACAAACATTGCAGCCCCTTTATTCTAAAAGCATATAAAGTAGTATTTTTTAATTTTTTGAATAGATAATTATTTAATTTTGTGCTGGATATGGATGGGGCTGTAGCAAAATTCTATTCTTGAAGCAGTCCTGAAAATGATTGAACTTTGCTGAGCAGAGAGAGAACTAAGCATTTTAACGAGTTCATGCATCTCCACTTTACTCTAGGAAGGATGTTATGGAAAGCCCTAGGGGGGTGTAGGCCTGGATCACATGATGAAACATAGAAAGAAAAGGAGAGAGATAGAAAGACAAAATACATCGGAGAGATATTTTTGGTCGCACATTGATTCGTACTTCCCGCTTCCAAACAAGCAAAATTTGGAAGTAAACAAAAACTGGAAAGTGCTCACTTAGCAACCGCCATTTTTCTCTTCCTTTGTGGTTCTCAACCTCACACTAAGTGCTTTCAAACTCTTCCTTTCACTTATCTCTCTCTCTCTGCAATAAAAAGCTTTACTGTTTTTTATTATTCATCCTTGCCACAATGCGGATTGCTTTGTTTTTATGCACGTGTTGCCCCTTTTTTTTATGACTGAAGAATATTTATAGCGAGACAATTTCATTTTTCTGCGTCGGTCATTGCTCGACTTTGCTGCATTCGGCGATGATAATATACATGAACCTATACTTACACTTTAGAAAAGAAAAAAAGAAAATGTGAAGGGGCAGGGAAGAGAAGATTAAAATCCCTTCCAACTTCCAAGACTTT